TAAACCTGAGCCAGCCCTAACTATAAACCTGAGTCAGCCCCAACTATGGACCTGAACCGACATTAATTATATTCTAGATTTTACAGGGAGCCAGTGACCATAATAATCTGTCTGTCTGTGTGTCTGTCTGCAGGACGAGGAGACAGACTGTCTCTCCTCCAGGAGTCGTTCTAACTTCTTTTACAGAAGGTCAGACTCTAACCTTTCTATGAAACATTCTTGTTGCTTCGTTGTCGTGACGTCTGAGTTGAGTTTGTTGTTTCCATGACAACAGGAAGCGAGCTGTCAGGTCAAAGGTCATCTGTAAGGAGTACACAGCCGGTAACCATGACGACAGCAGCGGTAGTGACATCACCGACTCTGACTGAAGACGAGCTGCCTTCAAAATAAGAGCCTCAAAGTTTTTATTTCTGTTCTCATCAGTTTGAACAGAATGAATTAAAGAAATATAAAATAAATGTTTATAATCTCTTTGTTACTAAAGTCAATAAAAACATAGATGTTGTTTATTTTAGTGTCTTTTTTATTTCAAACATTTCATCTATTTTATCTCTTTTCTCATTTATTAGCAATTAAAAAATATAATAAATAAAATATAAGTCGAAATTAATTCGAGCGAAATATGATTATAAAAAAGATAAGAAACTAAATCTCTGTTTACGGTTTATATTCTGGTCTGTTGAGTGAGGATGAAGAGGTGAAAGTCTACTTCTAGGATTAGACCCGTATCTGTCCACGTGGGGGTTCCCGACCCTCAGTTTAAGAACCTCCTGGGGCACATCCCAAGTCTCTTAACTGCATCCCCGTTTCCTTCACTTGCGTCCTTTCCTTGCGTCCTAGTCCCTCCCACCAGGGACGCATGGAGGAAAGCATGCGAGGAGAGAAGCGCCGTCTGTTTGTGATGACGGAGGATCAGCTGATCACAGCAGGAGAAGTTACTGTGATTATATCTCCATCATTTAGTGCAGAGTGAGATAAAGAGTCTCGATGAAGAGCTCATGAGCACAAACAGGAATCCTTCACATGAACAGAGCAGCAGCAGGTTGGATCATACTGCGTATTAATAATAAAGTAAGACATCATAAAGAAACACAGATGCTATTTATAGAACACAGTGACCTGATAACAAGTGGCCAAGACCACACGAGTTCATATGAGCTGGATTGCAGACGACAGTCTTGATGAAAAGCGATGCTATAGATGTGCTGCTGCTGGTGAAGCCTCCACATGGAGAACGTTCTCTCATGAGGACATCGTCAGCTGAGCTGATGGAGCAGCTGTAGCTCCTGAGGTCAATGGAAGGAGAAGGAACCAGGCCTGTGTCCCACTGAAGACTTTCACCAGACAACATGTCTCTCAGCCCGGTGCTGTGTGCTGCTGCAGCGTTCACCACGCTCCAGCAGCAGAGCCCATGTGCAGCTGCTCTCATGTGTTCATAGAGGTACGCATCACACACGCGCTGCACGAAGAAGAAGAACTCAACCTCAAACCACTTTACATCACATTGTAGAGAAGCTCGGTGTGGGAAGTACCTCTGTCCTGTATTGTGTAGCTGGAGACGGACCGAGAGCCGGTGGATGCTCGGTTACATCCTCGTGGGCCTGGCTGTGTTCTCTGACGGTCACAAAGACCTCATGGCTGACTAGAGGCTGGGGTCCAGTCCATGGAGGCCCTTCTGAGGATCCTGCCACCATAGAACACACAGGGCTGGTCCCATGAGGAGACACGGCCTATCATAGAGCGTGGTGTCCCGGCTCTACAGTCTGCACACTAGTGCACGGTGGAGTGGAGAAAATTGCAGCCCTTCACCAGGTCATCAACCTCCCCACCGCCGGAGCACCGGATGAGGTTGGCCACGCATTTGCCCAGCTGGCCCACAGCCCGGTGTTCTCCAGGTGTGTGGGTGCCATTGATGGCTGCCATGTCCGCAGAAGGACAATTGCAGGCAGTGTGTGATGGGAAGAGGCTCTTTGTGGGGAACCATGAGCCCAGAGTCCTGAAGAACAGCAGGATCTACCGAGAGGCTCTGTGTCCTCCCTCAGGTCAGTCTAACTCAAGTTTAATGCATCAATACCATCAGTTACTGACAGAAATAGTAATTACTTTCACTCTCTACAGGATGCTTTATGTTGGGTGATGGTGGCTACCCCTGCATGACGAGGCCATCATCACCCCGTATAAAGAACCGCTGCAAGGGAGGGTGCAGAGCCGCTTCAACCAGCATCACGCAAAGGCCCGTTCCATCACACAGCGAACCTTTGGGACGTCGAAGACTCGGTGGAGATCGCTGCTCTTCAGGGCTCTGGAGGTCGACCGTTGTCCCCCGAGTCATCACCGCCTGCCTCACAGCGGGGGACATCGGTGTGGTTCCACCACGTCCAGTGAGGGGAACGAGACCAGCTGGCAGGGCTGCTCTCTGCTCCACGTCTGCACGCTGTGGAGTTGCAGGAGCAGGATTATTTGTAGGCTTGGGGACATGAAGGCCGGGGACACCACGCTCCATGATCAGCTGTCTCCCGTTGAAGCGCCTCTCTTAGTTATGTCTATTTCTAAGTTGCCTTTAAGGTTGTGTTGTGCATTTCTCTTCTGAGATAGATTCAAGTCATTTGTAACGACATCATTGACCCGCGACTCCAACCAAAGCAAGATGTCTTCACAAAGATGTAAACCGGAACAAGAAGCTGTCCAACACATGAGAAGATAAATAAATCAACACAACGTAGTGAATACATATAAAAAAACTCCTCCGTGGTGATACAGGTGCAGAATCCTCTTCCTCACATGCCACAAGTAGCTGCTCCAGAGGATGATGAGCCACTACCACTGGGGGCCACGTCAGCTCACGGTGTCCCCCAACACATGAGTCCATCAGGACTGGGGCTCCACAGAGGGCCGCCTCCCGATGGCCTCGTGCATGAGGGAAATAATTTAATCATTGTTCTTAAATACACTATTATAATATTTCCCCATTATCTTATGTTCTCATTGCACAGCTCCTGTCTTCCTCAGTTGCTCTGCTTCCAGTGCAGCTTGTTTTAAGTAGAGCTTTTATCCAATCAGATCTCACCTCTGTGTCTCTAGGTAAGAACAGAGGCAGAGGCCTGCAGACTCACAAGTGAATCCATGTGCACTTTAAGTGAATGGGGACGATATTGTTGATTGTCATAGTGTTCAACCAATCACATCTTTAGTTTGACATGTTGGGTGTATTCTTTGACGTGTCAGAGCTGCTAGCTGGCCTACAAGTACGTGATTGGTCAGTGGGCTAGCCTGACATGTTGGGCGGTGACAATCCCAATATCTGCTGCCTCTGTGGAGCGGACATTTTCAGCCTCAAACACATTAAAACGTATTCAAGAAATACAACTGGGGAGGTTCGAATGTCTTCACTGGCGTCCATGAATGGAGAAGGACTTCTTACTGGAACTAAAACACACGGATGTACTGAACAACCGTGAGATTAAACTCTTTGTTAACAAAGAAAGGAGGACTTTGTCTTTAAATAGTGAACAGCAGCTCTGGTAAGTTAAATGCGTTTGTTTTTACATCTGCAGCAGCTTTAATATGCTTGTTTGTATATTATTATTTGTACAACTTGTTTTTATGAAGATGGATTTTTGTTTGGTTTAATATGTGATAGGAACTATTGTTATGTCCAGTGTTGCTCTGGGGACATATTTAGCCGGTGCCAGTGTTGCCAACTTGGCGACTTTCTCGCTAAATCTGGTGACTTTACAAACCCTCATGAAGACTTTTTTGTCAAAAGCTACCAGAGACTAATCTAGAGACTTGTTCTGGTGCTGTGACTCTGACGTTAAAGCTCGTTCGTTCTGCTCTGTGGTGACCGAGCAGCGGTGCTGCCGTGAGCCCCAAAGCTCTCACAGGTCAGTCTCACAGCAGCCTCACGCTGCAGTCAGAGAGGAGAGGAGACGCACTCTCTGCGTGTTGATGTACCTGCACTCTGCAGTTAGTGTGTTTAAAGGTGTTGAGCTTCATTTTTACACAAAACAAATAATAACCGTAGCTGTGTTTCAGCTGCAGGACAGCAGTGAAGGCCCAGCTATAACATGCACGGCCCGCCACTGATACACACAACACTTTACAGACAATGACGTCATCACAAATCTTCACAATAAAAGCTGTCCATTGCGTGCGTGCATGTGTCAAGACCTGGTCTGGTATCCCGTACCTGTCCCTCACCAACAGTAACGATGACCCATCATCCAGTTTTACTACGCCAACAACAGCATCCATCACCACAACCAGGTGCACCCTGGGACATCAGCTGCTGTGAAGGTATACACACACACACACACGCACACACACGCACACACACACACACACAGAGGGCTGAACATAATGTTACTTTAATATGATGTGATTAATGTGTGTGTGTGTCTCTCAGAGGTTCGAGCAGCTGTTCAGGTTGGAGTCGTCACGTTCAGACGACGACCAACGAGGAAGACTGAGTGAACTACAGAGCTGGAACACACACTGGAGACAGCAGATACACACTCTGAAACACACACACACCAGCAGCTGATTGGCTGTTTGCTGTGTAGTCATCACCTGTGTTGATGTCTGTTAATAAACCACAGAAGAAGAAAAAGAACAGAGTCTCGACTTGTTTTAGTTGTTGCTCCAGGTGACGATCTGGAGTCATCGCCTGAGCACCTGAGCACAACATTATATTAACAGGATGTTGATTTAAAGTGAAACCGTCACTAGCATTAAGCTAACTACACATCTACGTTGAAAATATACTAAACTAAATAAAATAAAATGTAGTTTCATTTCTAACATTTCAGTTTAGATTAAACAAACATATTTAACATGCTAGTGGTTTAAAGCTAGCTGTTGATCCCTGTTTCCAGTCTTTATGCTAAGCTAAGCTAACCATGGACATTATTTTCCCTCTAAACACCTGAGAGAAGATTTATCTAAATACAAACAAACATAATCAAACATCAGAGTTCATTATTTAAAAATAACAAGATGGAGCTGTTTTATATTTAATGACGCTGCAAATACAAACACATCGACCAATCAGCAGCCAGAAGTCTTTGTGATGTCATCAAAGGTATATAACTTCACTTTAAAAATAAAGGGCTTCTTAGGAGACCTGCTATGAAAAACAGGTCCTACACGAGCATCTAGAGGAGGTCCAAAGGGGGTCTGAGGGTCTGGAGGAGGTTCAAAGGAGATCTGGTGGTCTGGAGGAGTTCAGGACTCTGAGTCAAGGTTGGAGATCTTGTCGATGGACTGCAGCAGTTGAGAGACCAGACAGAGATTTTCTGCTTCCCCCAGCAGTTGACTGAAGGCAGACAGACAGGTTACAGTGTTAGCATGTTGCTGTTGAACAGGACTCGGTAGAAATGAGGAACGTCCAACATGTCCTCAATCTGATGGTCTACAAATCAACACACACACACACCGGATGGAGGAGTGGGCGTGGCTTGCCGTCTTGTTCAGGTACTCGGACGCAACCTGAGCGTTGTGTCTCATCGTCATGACAATTTCCGACTCTGCTGCCTTAAGACTGATGTTCTCCGACTGAAGAGCGTCGACCTCCACCTGAGACACACGTGTGTGTGTGTGTGTGTGAACAGCACCATGTTATAGAGGTAAAGTCATAGACAGCGTGTATAAGAAGTCTAACATACATTTAAATAATGATGTCATGATTAATGAGTCGTCCTCTGATACGAACACACAGCTCATCATGAAACACGGAACTGGTCCATGGTTCAGAACCTGATCCATGGTTCGGAAGCTAATCCATGGTTCAGAACCTGCTCCATGGTTCAGAACCTGATCCATGGTTCTGGTTCTTAAGGATCACAGATCTGCTCTCTGCTGATCTCACCTGAAGCTGCTGAAGATCCACCTTCAGTCTGCAAACACAGCCCTCTGCTCTCACTGCTCGCTTCTGTAGAGGGGGAGAGGGAGAGGAGAGAGAGAGGGGGAGAGGGAGAGAGAGAGGGAGTGAGTGAGTGAGTGAGTGAGTGGGAGAGAGAGGGGGGAAGGGAGAGAGAGAGGGGGGGAGGGAGGGAG